TGGAGGTTGCTGTGAGCTGTAATGCCACGGCACTCTACCCAGGGGGACAGCTTGAGGCTCTGTCTCAAAAAAAAAAAAAAAAAAAAAAAAGAAGGAACACAGAATTCTCCACTTAGGGAGGGACTTCCAGGATATACTAATCAGTGAAAAAGCAAAGTGCAAATAGGTATATATAGTGTGTTACCTCTTGGGTAGGAAGTAAGTAGACATAATTATATAGATATGTATGTATATATAAAATACACTTAATTTTTTAAAGGAAACCTAGAAAGGGTAAACCAGAAATTTAAATTAGGAAAACATTGGGGAATGAAAAGGAGTGACATTTTTCTGAGTGTGTTTCTCCCCAAAATATAAATAAACTCTAAAATGGAATATAAATGGAAATAAACCTAACTCTATAAATGGAAATAAACTCTAACACAAAAGAGTGAAATAACTAATACTGTCATTGAAGGGACAAAAACTAATCTGACTAGCTTGAACATAGTATAGGTTGAGTACCCCAAATCCAAAGTGCTCCAAAATCCAAAACTTTTTGAGCACTGACGGGATACTAAAAGGAAATGCTCATTGAAGCATTTCAGATTTGAGATGCTAACCTGCAAATATAATGCAGACATTCTAAGATCCAAAAAAAAAAAAAAAAATCCAAAATCTGAAACACTCTAGTTCCAAGCATTTTGAATAAAGCATACTCAACTAGTATTTGGATTATATAATATATCCTTAGTCTAAAACCAAATTTAATCAAATATTGAACTCTAGTTAGTGGGGTTTTGTTGTTGTTGTTTTCTCATTGTGGCATAGATTAGCAATTCTATAACTCTTTCTAGTATTGTAGGACCAAGTAAATAAGTATATTGAAGAGAACAGGAGCCAAGTTTCTCACTGTTGGAGAGAAGAGTTATGAAAAGGGGGAAACTGGAATGAACCCTGTCGTGGTAGAGTGGAATATGAAGAATCGATAGGAATTTTTGGTTGATTTTATTGTTACGATGTAGGTTTAAGTAAGTGTCTGCTCAAAGAGCCTAAAAGCAGTGATACGCTGATACCAGAGAACACACTGGCACCCAGACCTTGGTCTTTAAACACGGTTCTGCAGGGCAGGACTCCTTGAAAAAGAGACATATTGGGCGGCGCCTGTGGCTCAAAAGGGTAGGGCTCCGGTCCCATATGCTGGAGGTGGTGGGTTCAAACCCAGCACCAGCCAAAAACTGCAAAAAATAAAAAAATAAAAAAAAATAGAAAAAGACATATTCTAGACCTGGAGCACAAAAAGAGGAAGATGAGCCTGGGCCACCTTATTATTCTGGGGAAATAAAATGGGCACATGTCAGAAAGAGCCGGCTGGCCAAATCTGGGACAGTTTGACAATTTGAACTTCAGAATTAAAAAATACAGTAAAAGATTGTAATCCATAGAATAAAATAAGAATCCATGAATCTATATTGTTATTAGTTAATTCATTTTATAAAGGAAAGAATTCTGGAAGTAAATTACTAACTAATATAAAAGGGATGATAGGAGTGAGAAAAACACCATTTGGCAAACATCATAGTAATAATTGATATAGACAAGAATATCAGTGAGGCTCCGGAGCTAGCCACATGCACTGAGGGTGGTAAGTTCGAACCTGGCCCCAGCCAGCTAAACAAGGACAACTGCAACCAAAAAAAAAAAAAAATAGCTGGGTGTTGTGGTAGGCACCTGTAGTTCCAGCTACTTGGGGGGCTGAGGCAAGAGAATTGCTTAACCCCAAGAGTTTGAGGTTACTGTGAGCTCTGACACTCTACCCAGGGTGACAACTTGAGACTCTGTCTCAAAAAAAAAAAAAAAAGAAGAATGTCAATGAATGCTAAAATTAGTAGATAAAAGTTTAAACTTAGTAATTACAAAGGGGAAATGTTTTACTATAGGGAAATTTTGACAGACACTTAACTGCTTACCAAGTGATAAAAGATAACATTAGTGATGACAGGTCAGTATCTTGTGCCTTCTAATGATGGACAAGGAAGAACTCAACTTCAGTTTGTGGTATTTCTGGCAAAAATGCATAACTTCAGTGTACTCATAAGGGAACAGATAAACCTAGCTAAGGAATAGTATACAAAATAATTGGCTGGTACTCTTGAAAAATATCAAGGAAGTACAAACTAGAGTATTTAGGGGTAAAGAGGCCACAGTGTTTACAACTTATTAGCGAATGACTGAGGGGAAAAATATATACACACAGAGAGATCAAATGTAGTAAGACATAAATAATGAGTCTGAGTAAAGGGGTACCAAGAGTTCTTTTTTTTATTCTTTAACTTCCTCAAAAGTTTGAAATTACATCAAAATTAAAAGTTGCAAAAATAGAAAACAAATCAGAAAAAACACTGTTGAAAGAGAAAAAATTTTTAAGGTAAGAGTATCATCTTAGTTATAAATGCTAGCTTTGTAAAAATCTAAATCTGAAAACGGCAAAAACACACAAAAATAATCATGGCCTTTTGACTGTACATCTCATGTTTCCATCCTCCATATTCAGCTTGCTCCAGACCAGGGCCTCCAGCCTGCAGATCAGCCAACAGACATGAGGCGAAGGTGTGAGGAAGAGGCACAGGAAATAGTCCGGCATGCAAATTCCTCAACAGGACAGCCCTGTGTTGAAAATGAAAATCTGACAGACTTAATCTCCAGGCTTACAGCTATTTTATTACAAATTAAGGTAAATTTTAGAGAAAAATATTTTTTTAATTTGGTACTAAGTAAAATTTATGCTGATTTGTTGCTGAGAAATTGTAAGCCATAGATTATATCAGGTATTTATGTCTATCTTTGAGCTATAATTTAATTTTGAAATTTTTTTCCCATTAGTGTCTAGCAGAAGGAGGAGACCTGAATTCCTTTGAATTCAAATCACTTACAGATTCATTAAATGATATCAAGAGTACAATAGATGCTTCTAATATCAGGTAACTCATTAGGTCCATCCTCATTATTTTCATATTAAGTTCATAGGGATTTTCAGTATACATTTTAAAAATTATACGTATTTGTGAAGTATTCATAACATTTTTATCCTTTAAATATTCTTTCAAAGAGCTTTTCAGTTATATCCAGTCTTTTGACAGAACAGATATTTTATATGGAATTTTTTTTATAAAGGAATCAGGAGACATATGGTAATTATTAGGTTTGGGGTTAGCATGGAGGTTCAGCTTAGAAGCAGAGCTTCCCCAATCAAAGAGAGGTTCGTCCTGTCTTTCCAGAACCCCTGTGGCCCTCTTCCTTCTTTAGAGCATGCGTGTTCAACTACTACTAAAGTAGAATTGTGGCTAATGTATAAAAGGAGATTTATTCCTTCTCTAAGGTCATTATCTCAGCTATTTCCCTTCTTTTTTAAAAAACGTTTTTATTAAATTTTTGAAATGAAGTACTTAATTATGTTTCTTCTTTCTTTAGTTGCTTTCAGAATAATGTAGAAATCCACGTTGCACATATTCAGAGTGGCCTGAGCCAGATGGGAAACCTACATGCCTTTGCAGCAAATAACACCAACAGAGACTGAATAGAAGATTTCCTTATTTCAGCTGCACAGGGGCGTTGTTTTTGAGAAGTGCTTTTCCTTTATATAGGCTTCCAACACCAAATAACCTAACTGATGGAAAACAAGGGAAATTTATCTCCAAATAAGGCATTTTAATATTCTGTACTGCTTCTTAAACCAGCATTGCTGACCAGCATACTTATTTTTCTTTTATTATTTAGATGCTGTAGCATTGCTTATGTTACGTACATTTATTAGCAAGTATTTTTAAACTGAAAATGTCTAAACATAATTTTGTGGAAGAATACATTGACCATTTTTTTTAACGTGCATGAATTCAACTCAACACATGCAGACAACTGCTACAATGGAGAACATGAAAAAACATGGTCTCTTTGTGCATATTGGTGGCAGTGTGGAGATTCCATCTGGAAAATTACAACTCCTGTTGATTTAATTGATCACCATCTCAGTCTTCAAAGCATAACATTATAAGATATGGGAAGTCCGAGTTTTAAGGAAGCCACTGAAATATAGATGGGAAATAAGGACTTTACAAGTATATGTGACATATACTTGCAATGTGACATGGTTCTATATATCATTTTATAATAATATTTTAATTTATCATAATTTATATAAAATAAACCTTTGTGTTTGTCTGTTGAAAGAAAATGAAGGAGCAGGAAAAACATTACTGCACGATGCTAAATTTCTGCAAGTGGATTTGGCAAATCTTTTCCCGTCAATTCAGGTCAAAAGTGCTATTGTTATGAGATTTATTTAAAAGAAAAAAAAGACTGATAACACACTATTTTCATATTTTTGTTTATTTGCACAACTTTTAAACCAGATTACTGGTTAAAATCCAACAGTACACAATTTATAAAATAAAAAGGATTTTATAAGAAAAACAAATATAATAACCAGTGCTGTGAAATGCAGAAGAAAGGTTTTTGATTGTTGTGGCTTTTTGTTTTTCTTTTTTTAAGGAAAACCCTGCCTGAAATATTAATCTTGTAAAAAGTATGTATTTGTAATTTTTTTTTGTTTTAACATAGAATACTATAAAGTCAAAATATAATAAGTTGTTTTCAGATTTGGAGTTTAAGATATAGCTGTAGAGATGATTTTGATTTTTTCAGATGTCTCATAAAATGAGGCTTTTTATATGTTAATGTATAATAAAACTGAAGCAAGATTATTTTCCATTTGAAATTTTTGTATAGTTTAAAAATGCTTCTGTATTCTTTGTTGGTATTGTGCCACTGCAAAACTTTAGTGCAGAGTTTATATTTAGCTAAACTGTTATGTTAATTAAGAAATGCATAAATCTTTTATTCTTAATATTTGTAATTCTAAATAAATTGATCTATGAAAATTAACAGCCTATATTTTCTTTTCTTTTCTTTTTTTCTGAGATAGAGTCTCTTTTTTTTGAGACAGAGTCTCACTTTGTCACCCTCAGTAGATTGCCATGGCATCATAGCTCACAGCAGTCTCCAACTCTTGGGCTCAAATGATTCTCTTGCCTTAGCCTTCCCAGTAGCTGGGACTACAGGTGCCCACCACAACGCCTGGCTATTTTTAGAGATGGGGTCTCACTCTTGCTCAGGCTGGTCTCGAACCTGTGCACTCAGGGCAAACCACCTGCCTTGGCCTCCCAGATTGCTAGGATTACAGGCATGAGCCACTGTGCCCGGCCTTTCTTTACAACTTTTAAAACAGAAGAGATACTGATCTACTTGTATTAATTAAATGAAAATATAGGCTATAGGCTTTTTTGTATTGGAGAAGCATTTTCTTACATTTTCTCTTTTATACTTCTTTTTTTTTTTTTTTTTTTGAGACAGAGCCTCAAGCTGTCCCCCTGGGTAGAGTGCCGTGGCATTACAGCTCACAGCAACCTCCAACTCCTGGGCTCAAGCGAGTCTCCTGCCTCAGCCTCCCAAGTAGCTGGGACCACAGGCGCCCGCCACAACACCCGGCTATTTTTTGGTTGCAGCCGTCATTGTTGTTTGGCGGGTCCGGGCTAGGGATTCGAACCCGCCACCTTAGGTGTACGTGGCTGGCGCCTTAGCCGGTTGAGCTATAGGTGCCGAGCCGTCTTTTATACTTCTTAAGGCTTACTTGAACAATCACCTCACACTTAAATAGTGCCTCATTTTACACACATTTAATTAAGCACTGTTTGTCTTTCAGAGCTATCCTGTGTTGACTGCAGAGACTGGCTAAGAATATAGTTGAATTTTACTGTTAAGGGAAGAAGAAACCTATAAAATTCAGAATAATCATTTGGGGCCAGCCATACATTGATCTGAATAATGAACCATTACTTAACTGAAGATCTATAAAGAAAGCTATCAGGGGCGGTGCCTGTGGCTCAGTGAGTAGGGTGCTGGCCCCAGATACCAGAAGTGGTGGGTTCGTTCAAACCCGGCCCCGGCCAAAAACTGGGGAAAAAAAGTGTGTAGCATGCACTGAGAGGGATATCACTAAATAAAATTATGTACCAAAAAGAAGGAAAGCTATCAAAAACAGATTGAGCCGCAGTGCCTGTAGCTCAGTGGGTAGGGTGCCGGCCACATGCACCAAGGCTGGTGGGTTTGAACCCAGCCCAGGCCCCCTAAAACAATGGCAACTGCAACAAAAAAATAGCTGGGCATTGTGGTGAGTGCCTGTAGTCCCAGCTACTTGGGAGGCTAAGGCAAGAGAATTGTGTGTAAGCCCAAGGTTTTGAGGTTGCTGTGAGCTGTGATGCCACAGCACTCTATCCAGGGCAACAGCTTGAGACTTAAAAAAAAAAAAAACAGATTGAGCAAACATGCCATGGCTTTTATTTATAGAGATTTGGTTCTGAATTACTTTAAACTATCAAGAAAAGTCATATTCACTTGCTACCATTGAAAATCTACAAAAAATTGTGCCTACAGCAACCTCGGTTTGTATCTGAGTCACAGCACCAAAAAAAAAAAAAAAAGAGAGAGAGAGAGAATCTACAAAAAGACTTTCCCACTGAATGTTTTATCTTGAATCCATGTACCTGTCTCCATGTTTTGTTTTGTTTTTTTTTTTGTAGAGACAGAGTCTCACTTTATCACCTTCAGTAGAATGAAATGGGAGTCACAGCTCATAGCAACCTCCAACTCTGGGCTTAGGTGATTCTTCTGCCTCAGCCTCCCAAGTAGCTGGGACTACAGGTGCCTGCCACAACGCCTGGCAGTTTTTTGTTGCAGTTTGGCCAGGGCTGGGTTTGAACCTGCCACCCGCGATACATGGGGCCGGTGCCCTACTCACTGAGCCACAGGCGCCTCCCAGTTGTCTCCATCTTCATTACCACCACTACTCAAAGCCCAACTGCCATCATCACTATCCTGGGACACTGCAGTTGCCTCCTAACTTATCTCTCTCAGCATCTACTCGGCCCTCCTCAAATGCAGCCAGAGTGATATTCTTAAAATCCAGAGTTGGTCACATTATCCCTCTGTCTATAAATGCCTTTAAAGTCTTCTTATGGGCTCGGCGCCTGTGGCTCAAGCGGCTAAGGCGCCAGTCACATACACCTAAGGTGGCGGGTTCGAATCCCCAGCCCGGGCCCGCCAAACAACAATGATGGCTGCAACCAAAAAACGGCTGGGCGTTGTGGTGGCTGCCTGTGGTCCCAGCTACTTGGGAGGTGGAGGCAGGAGACTCGCTTGAGCCCAGGAGTTGGAGGTTGCTGTGAGCTGTGATGCCATGGCACTCTACCCAGGGGGACAGCTTGAGGCTCCATCTCAAAAAAAAAAAAGTCTTCTTATGACTATCTGGGCACATTCAGAACTCTTTTATAAGATCTGCAAAGCCATGCATGATCTGGCTTCCCCTACCAATTTCTTCATTCGCTCCTTACTCCACTGGACCTTTGCATATGCAATGCCTCCCTTTCCTTTCTTTTCCTTGGTAACTCATGATAATCCTATAGATCTTACCTTTAGCATCTCTTTCTCAAGGAAGTTTTTCTTGACCACAACACAGCTCCTATCATAGTGTCTCCAGATCTTGTAGCTCTCTTTCCAGCAATTGGCACATTTGCAAAAAAGAAAAAAAAAATTTCTTTTTTCAAGACAGAGCCTCAAGCTGTCACCCTGGGTAGAGTGCCATGGCATCACAGCTCACGGCAACCTGTAACTCCTGGCTTAAGCAATTCTCTTGCCTCAGCCTCCCAAGTAGCTGTGACTACATGTGCCCGCCACAATGCCCGGCTATTTTTTGGTTGTAATTGTCATTGTTTGGCAGACCTGGGCTGGATTCAAACCTGCCAGCTCTGGGGTATGTGGCTGGCGCCTTAGCCACTTGAGCTACAGGCACTGAGACATAAGATTTGCAATTTTATATTTCTTTTTTTTTTTACAGACAGAGTCTCACTTTATCACCCTCAGTAGAGTTCCATGTTGTCACAGCTCACAGCAACCTCCGACTCCTGGGCTTAGTAGCTATGACTACAGGTGCCCACCACAATGCCTGGCTATTTTTTATTGCAGTTTGGCCGGGGCCAGATTCAAACCCGCCATCCTCGGTATATAGGGCCTATGCCCTACCCACTGAGCCACAGATGCCACCCATCAATTTTATATTTCATAGAGCTCTTTTATCTTCCACCTCTTTGCTCTATCAGGAAAGGGACTGTTTCTGGTTTTGCTTATCATTTTGTTTCCAAGTAAATATTTGTGTAATGAACAAACAAATGTCAACTTCAAAAGAGCTCTAAGTAACATGAATGCCATTGGAATAAGAGGGTGGTCTTCCATGATTTCTTTGAAAGAAGAGATAATATTCATTGGAATATAGAAATTCTCATTTGGAGGCTGGACACAGTGGCTCACACCCATAATCCTAGCATTCTGGAAAGCCAAGACAAGTGGATTGCCTGCGCTCAGGAGTTTGAGACCAGCCTGAGCAGTAATGAGACCCTGTCTCAAAAAAAAAAAAAAAAATAGTCAGGCATTGTGGCTGATGCCTGTAGTCCCAGCTATTCAGGAAGCGGAGGCAGGAGGATTACCTGAGCCCAAGAGTTTGAGGTTCCTATGAGCTATGACACCATGTCACTCTACCAAGGGTGGCAAAGTAATACTCTGTCTCAAAAAAAAAAAAAAAAGAAAAGAAATTCTGACTTGGAGTTTGCTTTTAAACCTATGACATTACTGTATTATTAGTTCTGACTAAAAAGACCAATCCAGTAGAGGAAGCACTATATAGTGGATAGATGGGCTGAGTTAGTCTTAAGTTTGAGTCCTGGCCATGCCATTTACAAGTTCTGTGATTATAAACCACTATTTAGAGTAAATGTCTTCATCTTTAAAATGGGAAGAATAGTTACCATCTTACATGGTCGGTGTGAGAATTAACTATATAATGCCTGTTAACACATTTACCAGTTAGGGCCTCTTAGAATTTGAAGAGGTGCGAGCTCTATTCTTAAAGGGTCCCACATTTTTTAAAAATTAAAAATACAAAAATAACCTCCGCACTTGTGGCTCAAGTGGCTAAGGCACCAGCCACATACCCCAGAGCTGGCAGGGTAACAACAGTGACAGCTGCAACCAAAAAATAGTGGGGCATTGTGGCGGGTGCTTGTGGTCCCAACTACTTGGGAGGCTGAGGCAGAAGAATTGCTTGAGCCCAGGAATTGGAGATTGCTGTGAGCTGTGACTCCACTACCCTCTACCCAGGGCGACAGCTTAAGGCTCTGTCTCAAAAAAATTAAAAAATAAAAATACAAAAACAGAGGCTAGGTGTGGTGGCTCACACCTGTAATCCTAGCACACTGGGAGCCTAGGGAGGTTGGATTGCTTGAGCTCATTATCAAGACCAGCCTGAGGACGAACGAGACCCTGTCTCTAAAAAAAATAATAGCCTGGTGTTGTGGCAGGTACCTGTAATCCCAGCTGCTTGGGAGGCTAAGGCAAGAGGATAGCTTGAGCCCAAGAATTTGAGCTGTGAGCTATGATGACATGGTACTCTACCTAGGGTGATAAAGTAAGACTGTTTCTAAATAAATAAATAAAAATACAAAACAGGATTTAATTTTTTTTTTTTTTTGAGACAGTGTCTCACTATGTCGCCCTCAGTAGAGTACAATGGCATCATAGCTCACAGCAACCTCAAACTCTTGGGCTTAAGCAATTATCTTGTATCAGTCTCCTAAGTACCTAGGACTACAGCGCTCACCACAATGCTCAGCTATCTTTTTGTTGTTGTTGTCGTCTTTGTTTAACAGGCCTGGGCTGAGTTCAAACCCTCCAGCCCTGGTGTATATGGCCAGCACCCTAACCACTGAGCTACAGGCATTGAGCCCTTTTTTTCTTTTTTTGAGACAGAGTCTCACTTTATCACTCTCAGTAGAATGCTGTAGCATCATAGCTCACAGCAACCTCAAACTCTTGGGCTTAAGAGATTCTCTTGCCTCAGCTTCCCAAGTAGCTGGGACTACAGGCACCCACCATAGCACCCTGCTATTTTTAGAGATGAGGTCTTACTCTGGCTTAGGCTGGTCTCAAATCTGGGAGCTCAGGCAATCTACCTGCCTCAGCCTCTCAAAGTGCTAGGATTACAGGCGTGAGCCACCATACCCAGCCAGGATTTACATTTTACATAGATTTTTATAATTGTTCACTGGGGAAAACAGAACATAAAACAATATAAATGTAATAATAAAATTAATAAGCTAATTGTAGGATTTACTTTTTTTTTTTTTTTT